GCCTAACATTCCTGTTTGGACTCCAGATTTAACTTATGCACATTTCTCTGGCAGAGGCCCTGAAGAAAGCTGATGGAGACCTGCAGAAAGCTGTAAGTACACGGGGATGGGGCTGAAGCTCTCAGTGCTGTGACTTCCTCCCACTGTGATCTGGCTCTCTGCCCTTCTGCAGTGTCTCATTGAGGCAGTGACAATCATGGACATCATCTGCAAACAGGACTCCTCCTATGTGTACCGTGCAGCATCCTTCCTGAAGATCTTGCATGGCAGGATCAGCGGGGATGCCACTTATGCCAGGGCACTGCTGCCCATTGCCCAGTTCTTCCTAAATCATGGTAAGTCATCCTCCACAAATTAGTCTGGCATACTCACAGCACAGCTTTTGTCCTGGCAGTTTGCTGGCTGCTGGAGTTTATAATTCAGCCTTGGCTGTACTCCAGGATTCATGATCCCACTCCTGGAGAGTCAGAAGCTGGGCTGTCCTGTGTTTTGTAGAAAAACACACCCAGATTTAGTTTTTGCATATCCCTTGGAGCCCCTGTTGACAGGACTGCTGGGTGAGCTGTGCTCAGGAATGTGCTGTATCCTCCCAGGCGAGATGGCTGCTGCGGACTCTGATGCAATCTACAAGCACTTATTCACTGATATCCCAGCTCAGCTCTTCCACAACTCATCTCTGGCTTTTGAATTTGTCCTGTTCTGCAAGGACAACAGCCGGCTCTTCACTGAGACCTCCAGCATATTCAGGCAGAGTTTCCCAAATCTCTTCAAGGTACATCTTGCCGGAGCAGCACAGGAGACAGCCTGCTGTGCTTCTTTTCTATGCCTCCAAATCCTTGCTTTCAGCACACCCCACAGCCCACCATTATACTTCTGTGGCAGGGCACAGGCAAGAGGGATGGGTAAGAAAGACTTAGAAAATAGTGAGTTTGAGGTGGAAAGAGGGTTCTGGGTGTGATTAGCTCTACCAGGAGAGGGGAGTGTGGGTTGGTATTACGTCAGTGCGTAGTGCAGGGTGCACAGTTAGAACACAGCAGTTTGGCTTTGGGAAACTTGAAACATTTCAACTTGCTCACCATTAAATCAGCTTCTAAGTGGGTGTGTTGAGCCACCAGCAGCCTCCCCAGTTCTTGGCTGAACTCTTAGTCTTTGTTTCTGCTTTTCAGAAGTGACTTTCCATTCCTGATCCCTTTTGGTCACAGTGTGAGAATTGTCTTGGCCATGTGGTGGAACCCTGGGGATAGTGCAGCAGTCTGTACTGCTTTCTTACAGTTTCTGGCATGGAACAGCCCACCCCTTATTGCTGAGTTTGTGGATATTCTTCCATTTCTGCTGGATGCGGGAACAGCCATTGAGATTTTCCATTTGTTGCTTGACCTACCCTGTCTGACAGCAGCTCTGGATGTGCAGATGAGGTAATGCTAACTGCCCTTCGTCTCACTTGCTTATCAGGGTTTTGATGTTGACTACACGCTTCCCTGAGCTTCAGCTGCCCTCTGGCTGCTGCTGTCGGAGTGAGAGGCTGCAGTCAGGTTAGCACAAAGCTGCACAGACATCAGCCTAATTTTCCTGGTAATGTGATGTGCACAGAAAGAGAGCTGTTACACCTCACTACTGGACTGTCTTTGAAGCTCAGAGTTGTTGTCATTTCATCACCTGCATACAGATCCAAACTATTGCCTTGTGCTGGAGTGTCTGCCATCAGCCACTGCCTCCACAGAGACGTGGACTAGTGGGTCATCCCTCCCTTCCCTGCTCTTGCTCCCCTTTGCTGGCTGTGTTTTGGAAGCAGACAGAAGTTTTTTCCCAAACTGGGAAAAAGGGGACTGGAAGAGTGTCCAGGGAGATGGGAAAGCATTGGAGCTGGCTGTACTCACTGCTGTACTCTGCTCTTCCTTTTGTTCTCTGACATTAGCAGCTCTTTTTGGAGCGCTCAGAAAAGGAAGCCATCCTAGATACAAGAAGTTGATTGAGGTCTGTTTCTCACCACTTCAGGCATTCTGGTTCTCTGGCTTTCAGGGCACTTGGGTTAGACCAAGTTAATGTCCCTGTTTCAGCAGCAAATGTGTTACTCCATTGCTCAGGATTCCAGCCGTAGCCTGGCCCATTCTCACAATTCAGCACATTCTGTGTGTCCCTCCTTCTAGGTCTTCCTCTCTCCCATCTGCTGAGAGGGCTGCCTGTGATCCTGCTGTGAAGCCAGCTGCCTGCCTGGAGGCCTTTCGCAATCCCCTCTACAGGAGTGCATTCCAGTACCTTCTCCGTGTCGAATCTGTTTCTGAAGACTTCCAGGAGAGGTAGGAAGACTTGCTTTAGGAGACTGCCATGAGGGTTTGATTCGGCCTGCCAAGTCTGGGAGGCAGCACTGGGATTGCTAGGAAAGGCATAGCTGCGTTCACCTGGGCTGAGGTGGGCTTGACCTTCCCTCCCTGCATGAGTTCTGCCAAGTGCTCTAAGGCTCTGTGGGCTGTAGGGGAGGGAAGACAAGGGAGTAGTTGGGAGCACACTTTTATCAGTAACTTCTTTACTGCCTGCAGGCTGATTCCACTCCGACAGCTGCTGGGATCCCTGGCCAGCAGCCCAAGGGTCATGCAGTGTGCAGACACTGTCCCTGTCTTGCTGGAGCTCTTTTTCAGTGTGGTGGCTGAGGTAAGTGCTTTTTGGGCAGTTTGACTTCCACACGTCCTGCGGGGATTTCTTGTTAGGTGAAGAACAATCACAGCAAGGAGTGTTAACACAGTGCAACTTCAGCAGAAGGGTATATGAAGTGAGAGAATGGGGTGGTCCAGTACTGGCAGAGAGCTGCACTGAGCTGCCTGCTTCATCCAAAGAAGGAAGAAAGCTCCGTGGTGCAGTATCAGTGTTCACAATTGTTTTCCCAGGCAGCTGTGAGTGAGTGCAAGACAAGTGCCTGGTACCAGCTTTATGCACTGCTCTGCTGCTGTACCAGGCAGTCTCTGTGCTGGCATAGTCCTCTCTGGCTGATCAATTTGAGTTTTGGTTGCTGGAAGTCACCAGTGTTGCTGAAGCAGAGGTTGTTTCTCAGTTTGCAGATGCATCTCTGATAAACCAGCTGGTGGTGCTGGTGCTGCAGAGAAGCGACCAGCTCTACGAGATCCCAGCGTTTAAAGATGACGTGCATAGGTGAGACAGAACAGAAGGCCTGGCCAAGCTCTCAGCCCTTCTGCTGCCTGCAGCCTGGCTTCCCAGGACAGCACAGCAGCTGTTGTAGTTGTGACCTTCCCGAGCGTGCAGCTGCTGTGCTAGTAGTTGGATGCTGCCAGCACCTCCTCGGTTTGGTGACAAGTGCCTTGGCTGTGGTCTGAGCTCTCTCCATCTCTCCTGCAGGGTGCTGAGCTCACAGCTGGTGATGCTCTGCAAGCTGCGCCCTGCGCTCGTTGTGGAACTGTCCAAAGAGCTGCTGGAGTTCTCAGGAACCGTCAGCAACGTCCAGAACAAGGAGCCCATCTTCACCCACGTGGTAAGCGGGGCCTGCCTGCTTCTGCCAAGTGTGTCCCGGCTGCAGTGCCATCTGTTGGTCAGCTTCTCTTTCCTCCTTTATCCCGTCTTAGCATGACATCATCTGATTTGCCATTGCCTAAACTGCGATAAGATCCCCTTTCCTTCTGGTTGCCCTGAGTACATCTGCCTTTGTTTCAGGTCTGGGCTATTGGAGAGTACATGTCTGTGTCCTATGACAAGCGCTGCACTGTGGAACAGATCAACCGCTTCTTTGAGGCTCTGGAGGCTGTGCTGTTTGAAGTCACCCAGGTCCGACCACAGGCCAGTGTCCCCAGCTGTGCACCCCGTGCCATCGCTGTCCTTATGACTGCCTTGACCAAGCTGGCAGCTCGCAGCCAGGACTTGATCCCCAGGTAAGGACTGATGGCAGGCAAGGGCAAAATGGCAGAAACTTGCAGATCTGATGGATCCAAACACAGATGTTTGCAGTGTTAGATGATGATACTTGGCAACTGAGGGAACCTGGAAGTGAAAGAGAACAGAGGAAGCAAACTGTAGGGAGGCAGCTTGAGGAAGTGGGCTTCATCTGCTGACAAACTCTCTGTGCATCAGGGCAAAGGACAATTGGCGTCTGGTGTTTGCTTGCAACAGTCTTCTGTGGCCCACATGATTGCATAGTGACCCTGCCGGGTGCGAGGCTCTACCAGCTGAAGTTTGTGTCGTTCTCTCCTGCAGGGTGTCCTTGTTCCTGTCCAAGATGAGGACGTTTGTGCAGAGCCCTGCTGTCACCTCTGTGTACTGCGAGGAGGACCGTGAGGAGATCCTTACCCGGGCAACCGAGCTCATGAACCTCCTAAAAATGCCAAGTGTGGCTCAGTTTGTGTTCACACCATCTGTGGACGTGGCCTGCACACGGTTTCAGAAGGAGGTGTATGACACCCTGCCTTCTGCTCTGAGGATAGTGACCCGTCTCCTAGAGCCAGCTCCTGGCTTTGTGCCGGGGTGAGGGTGTGGGGTTTGTGGGAGGCTCCAGCTTCTACTGTAACTGATCTGACACAGCCAGCACTCAAGGCTGAGTGCTCTGAACTGGAAACGAGGAACAAATGATTATGAACGAAACAGAAAACAGGAATAAGTAGAGCTGAGGCTGCTCTTTGGATTGCAGCCTGTTTCTGTGCATCTCTCTGGTAGCATCTGTTGCTTTTTCTACCTCCTATTCCTGTCCTACCTCTTCCGGGCCAGTATGGATTGAAAATAAGTGGGTTTGTGTGAATGAGTGAGTGAGTGCCTGCATTACCACCCTGCCAGCCCATCACGTCCCTTTGTTGACATGCATCCTCTTCCCTCCTTTCCCCTGGCTGCACCCTGGCTACACACGTGATTCCCATCACCTCTGCTTGCCAAGCAAAGTCCTTTCTGAGGCAGAGAAAGCAGAAGTGGCTCCATTAAATTTGTTGTGAGCCTTCACTGCTCTTTTGTCTTACTTTCACAGCAAACACATTGAGATCTGAGGGACATTTACCAGACAGGAGCCTAGAGAGATTGATCAATCCAGTTTATTGTTGACACCAAGAGCATTTCTCATCTGCCCCCTGTCAAGCAGGTGCCATGCTGTGCTCTTTATCTGCACAAGAAGTTTATCATACATATCTGAGCTGTACAGTATTAACAAACAGAAAAGTAAATACATCCCACTCCTCCCAGGAAAAGCAAGCCCTCATGCACACCAGTAAATACTAGGGTTTGTTTACAATTTGTTTCAATACCTCACTGCACTGTAACATAAAGCTCTGGGGCCGTATAGTGCCTCCAGGTGTGCTTAGGGAGTCAGGCCCCAGAGAGAGCAAAGGATTTTGCTCTGGTATGACTGAATTGGCCAGAGTGCAGCTTCAGTTCAGGCTAGTGTACACCAGGCCACCACGAAGCCCTGGTTCTTGGGCAGAGAGAGAAGGAAGGAGTGCATGCAATTTTACCAGGGGCTCTGAGCAGCCCCTTTCCTGCTCTACAGAGCTCAGGAACCAGCTCACCTCCTGAGTCAAAGTCAAGTGAATCACCAGCGTCACCAGGAGCCCTGAGCCTCTGCTCACCCAGTAGAGCTGAGTCAGTGGCTGAGTGACACACTGCTTCCAGTCCCTGCTGGAGGCTGGTTGGTATGAGCATGGCCCAGCAGAAAAGCAAGGCACTGTCTGAGTAAAGGTTCTTTGTCCGTCTTGCCTTAGAGAAGTCAGGCCAGGCTGCTGCACTCAAATCTGGTGTGTGAAGTGTTTCTCCTGCACAGATTATTCTGACATCTCTCTCCTGCCAACTGCAAGACTGAGCCCAGAAAGCAAACTGTAGCAGTGAAATATCTGAGGTTTAATTAAGGCCAACCCTGTTAAGCATCCCCTTTTTAGCATCACAATCCTCGGAGAGCTGTTGTTGTGAGATGCAATGGTAATATCTGATTTGCTGCCGGAGCTTAGACCATGCTGCTGTAAGTTCAGGGCTTGATGCAGGGCTTCATGGCAGACTGTTTTAATAGGGTTCAGCTAAACAAGATCTCAATATCTCTATATGCGGAAATCAGGTCGGGTTTATCCCTTTAATGTTGCTAAAAGCACGCAGAAGACTTAGAAGCTGTGCATGCAGGGACCAAGCAGTCGCCTGGTGGAGCTGCCAGTGCAGCCCTGCCACACCGTGCTGCAGGCTGCGGGTCAAAGAACTGCTGCTGGGACTCTGAAGCCTGACTTTCTTCCAGCCTGTGCTGCATCCTGTCACCTGGTAGCCCAGCAGCAGCAGCACTTCTGAGATGCTCTGAGCTGGGCGGGATACAGGGCAGCCTTGCAATGGCCCTGAAGAGGAGGGAGTGGACAGGACACGGTGCCAACACCTCCTGCATGGGGAAAGTGAACCTGGCTGCTCCAGAATGCCCCACTCTGCTGGGCCAGCTCTGGGGGCCGGGCTGGGGATCTGCCAGGGCTGTATTGCCAGTGCAAGGATGAGAGCTCTATTCTCCAGGGCTCAGGCTGTCTCAGGGAACTGCTGGTGGTGTCAGCCCTTGGCTGAAGCTGCATCCCCTCCTGCAGCAGGGCTGGGGGCAGTGAGATTGGAGCCCAGCAGCAGAAAGGCACCTGATGTCAGGTATGGCACCGGAGCTCCTGGCAAGGCGTCCTGCTTGGGATCCTGCTCTGGGTGCTTGTGCTGTGTTTACCATCACAGAGCTGGGCTCCTGCACCTGCTTCATTTCCAGCCCACCCTGCTGCTGTCAGGGCCTGGCTCTGCAACCTTGATATCCCAGTGCTGTCTTGAACCTGACCTGCAAATGTGAAAGTGTAACAGGAGAACTGGAACGGCATCCTGAACGCCCGTGACTGAGCAAGGAGGGCCATGCGGGGCCATCAGCTGGGGAGGTACGAGGAGCTCTATGCTGCTGGGGAGAAGCGTGCAGCACCCCGGTGTGTCCTTCCATCTGCTGCAGCGCAGGGCAAGGTGCTGGGAAGCAAATTGAGGGCAGCTGTGCAGTCCTGGCCCTCCCTTGTGCACCCTGGGCTCCATCAGCTCGACCCTAACCAGAGCTGCACCTGCTGACAGACCCTCATACCTCATATGAGAGTTAAGAGGATGCAGAGCTGGAGATGATTTTTTTGGCTATTTCCATGTCTGATTTGGCAACCAGAAACCTCAGCTTCTTCCCTCCAGAGCGGATGAGGTCCACAGCACTGCAGAGCGACAACAGGGAGAGATGAGTGCTACATCTGCGCACCAAGGACCACATCCTGAATCCACACATCTCCACCTCCATCATCCCCTCGATGACAGCAGCAGCCACACCGGGCTCATCTTCAGCTCTGAAATGCGCTCCTATGCTTTTTCTCCCCGCTCCCTCTTTCACCCCACCCCAAGCACCTGCCTTCCCCATCTCTGACATCCCAGCCCCAGCAGTGGGGTGTCACCCACCTTTGGTAATCGGCCCCGATGAGACTGGTGCCGTTGACGGCCAGGATGCGGTCCCCGATGGCCAGCCTGCCATCAGCCGCCGCGGGGCTGCCCTCAATCAGCGTGCGGATGTAAATGCCCGGGGAGCCCAGCGGTGTGTGCTGCTGGGAAGGAGGCAGTGAGCGAGCAGAGAGGACACGGGAAACCTGTGATCCCTCCCCGCTGCCCTGCTTGGCTTTGCCACGCACCAAAGGATGGAGGAAATCCCTCACTTGAGTCATCTTCCTCCCCCCGTTGGCTGCCTCCAGCTGCAGGCAGCTGTGCTGGACATAGCAGGCAGCAACCCCGCAGCAGAGCTGCTAGAGATCGCTCCGCACCTCACTGGCCCCAGTCAAAGCTGCTCAGTTCCATGCACAGCCATCAGCTTTGGTAATTATGCGTTCCATGCCACACGTGCCCCCACAGCTCCTGGCAGAGCCATTGCTGCGCACTCACCAAGCCGTCGATCAGCCCCATCCCCAGCCCCAGCGCTCCCCTCTCCAGCTCCACCACGAAGACGTAGCAGAAGTCGTCGGTGGCCGAGCTGCGGCTGGAGGACTCCGGCGTGGGGAAGTCGTAGGGGGTCGGCGAGCAGCCTGCCAGCAGGGGGACCACCGGGTTACTGCTCCATCACCGCCCCTCATCAGCTCTATCGAGGAATTCCCACCAAAGCCAACCTGGGCTCTCCCTAGGGCTGCTTCCCTTCTGGGACCGCAAACGGTGAGACGTGCTCTCCCCGAGCCCAAGCAATGAAAATCCGCACAAGAGCCACGTGTGCTGGAAATGGGCACCCAGTGTGGCCGTGCAGGCTCTGTCCCCCCTTCCCGCACCCTTTCAGGCAGTGTCAGCCCTCCTTACCTTCAGGGCTGCCGCCTTTGGTGCTGCTCATCCCGTTCCTCCGCGGGTCCTGCAGCCCCTTGGTTGTGCCCTGTGGGGACTCGGGGCAGGCAGAGTCGAAGTTCAGGGGTGTGGTGGGGGGTGTAAGCAGGCAGGAGGGGGCCGGGGGGGCCGGGCCTCTGCCCAGCTGCAGCTGCTGGAGCTTCTCCTGGAGCTGCTGCTCGCCGGCGGTGTGCTGGCAGGGGCACCCATTGGTGGTGGAGGTGAGCGGGGGGGGCTCATCCGCCTCCAGGTTGGTGCAGCCCCCAGGGGTGCAGCGGCCCGATGGGGGAACAGCGCTCCCTGGGGTCATAACCGGGCTTGGAGTCACTTCCAGCACTTCTGGCACGATCAGTGGCTCGCTCTTAGAAAGGAGAAAAGTGGGAACCTAGGTAAGCAGCTGCCACCCCATAGGTGCCCCCCATCACCCTGCCATCGAAGCCTGAGCAGTTTGTGTGCTGCTCAGGTTGGTGGCTGTGGTGGCTGTGAGCATCCCCAGCACAGGAGGAGACTCCTGGTGGGAAAAGACCTCCGAGATCCCCAAGACCAACCCCACCGACACCAAACCAATTCAGTGCCACATCCACGTGGTTCTGGAACACCACCAAGGATGGTGACCCCACCACTCCCTTGTTGCAACACCTGACTGCTCCTTGTGAAAAGAAAGGTTCCCTGACCTTTGGAGGGGCTGAGCACGGCCCCTCGCTGCCCTGGGGGCTCTTGCTCTGCAGGCTCCAGAGGAAGTGGCGGACATAGAGGAGGTGCCGGTAGATGTTGTCATCCAACGTCTCCACCTCCAGGTCCACCTTGAAGCCCGCGCTGGGCAGGACGATGGGAGGGTGGTTGTCAAAAGACTCCAGCACCGCGTCTGCAGGGCAGAGAAAGGGAGATGGCAGGGCAGGCAGATCCTGCCCCACAGCTCCACTGTGCCTCCAAGCAGCATCACTTGGGTACGCAGGGCACTGAGCACACTTGCATCCTTCACATCCCAGTGCCATACGACTACGGTTACCCCTGATGACCACAGTTACCCACAAGACCCTTGCAGTTTGAAGGGCGCTGCCCGTTTGGTTGATCCATAAAAGCTTTTGGGTGGCAGCAGCATGCAGGGCAGGGGGCTCACCAGGCTGGAAGGCGGCCGTGCTCTCCTCACCCCAGGGCTGCCATGCTGCCACGTTGCCCACCTCCATGGCCGCCTGGCACTGGCTCAGCACCCGATGCAGCTGCGCAGGGCTCAGCGCTGGGAACTCAGCTCTCAGGGTTGGCCACGTCATCTGGGCAAAGAGACAGCACAGGGGGGTGAATACCATCCCATCACCTCCATCCCAAACCCAACACGGCCAGCACCTCACCTGCAGCAGCTGGGAGCCGGGCATGGCCACCAGGTTGGCCACGCTGGTGAGTTTAGCAAAGAACTGCTGGGAGAGCTGCTCAAAGCCGGCTCCACGCAGCCACTCCAGCAGCAGCCGCATGCTGGCTCGCAGCTTCACGCCCTGCGACCAATGGAAGCAGCCAAGAGAGGAGCCTGTGGGGCACAGCACAGGTTGGGCAATGGAACCCCCACGTTCAGCCAGAGAGCGTAGGATAGGGCTGCCCTACAGAACAAATCCCCACATATGTCTCCACGTTAATGTCCCCAGTGGCTGTGACTCAGTGGCAGGATCTTGCCTAGCAGTAATTGTGGCTGGGGCAAGGAGACTGCCGTGAGGCAGGGATGTTAGTGATAATTAGGGTTAACGAGCACCATGCTGCTCCTCAATTACAAGGCAGGGTGCAATGGTTCATTAGTGAGAAGCTCTCTGTGGAGCAAACTGCTTTCAGACTGAAAAGGGTTGGGGTTGGGATTGACAATGAGAATAGGGTTGGGGTCAAGGATGGGTTTGGAGATGGGGATGCAGATACAGCTGGAGTTGATTATGAGTTTAGGTTTGGGGATGAGGATGAGAATGAGAATGGGGTTGAAGATGGGTTTGGGTATGAGAATGAGAATGGGGTTAGAGTTGAAGATGAGGATGGGGTTGGGGTTGGAGATGGGTTTGGATTTGGGGTTCCCTCCTGGAAATGGGAACCTTGGAGGGAGCACCTGTGTATGCTCTATGGGTATAGGGGAACTCTGCTTGGAAACAGCTCAATAAGAGCCTGGTAGCAAAGTGGCACAGCAAAAGCCAAAGCCATGAGATGTGAAACAAGCAGGATGCTGGGGATGGAGCACTTGGGAAAGAAAAGACATGGGCTCAGCAGCCAGGTTTGTGCTTGGCTTCCCCATACCAGTGTGGGACCTGCCCACCTCCAGCTGCTCAAAGCCCCTCTCCCCAGGGGGCACCGGGAGGGATGGGGGGGTCTCAGAAGGTCTATTCCCAGCATCAGCCCAATGAGGGAGAACCAAGAGGAGGACAGGGACTGACCCTTATCCAGGAGCTGGTTGAAGAGCAGCGTGTTGGAGAAGAAGAAGAGGTAGGCAAACATCTGGGAGGTGATCTCAGGGTGCACCTCATACTGCCGGAGCAGGTCCAGGGCTGCCTGGTAGATGAGCACCACGCGGCGCAGCTCCTCGGGCAGCGGTGGGGCCGCCCGCCAGCCCTCATGGCTCTCATTCTGGAAGGGGTTGCACTCCAGCAGGGCCGGCAGCGAGATGTACAGACACTGCAGGAAGCAGAAGGAGCTGAGCTGAACAGAACCCGGCCCATTTGTTTACTTGTGCAGGAGCCTGGGTAGGAAAGCAGCAGCTTACACCCATCACTGCTGGGGTGAGGGTGAGGGAGAGGCGAGCACGGAGCATCCCTGCACACAGACACCTTTCTCTGGCCACACACTGCCTGCTCTGTTCCCCACCAGCCCCGGGGCTGCTTTCCATCGTGCCCTGAATCGCAGCATTATGTTCTCCCCAACACCTCCTCCCAAGCAGGGAAGCACACCACGGTCATCCAATACTTTTCCTGGGCTGCGCCCAAAAGCGAGGCACTTCAGCCCGAAGGAAAACATCTCGGTGTTGCAGAAGCTGAACAACTCCTGCAGAACTGCTGGGGATGCTCACGTTGGCGGCGATGCCCCTGGGCACTGCGTACCTTGGAGATGTAATAGACACACTGCTGGAATGTGTACATGATCACCTCCTCCAGCACCGTCATCGCCTCCTCGCTGGCTGTGATGGTTGAGGAGAACAGAGACTCCTTGGAGCCTAAGGGATGGAGGGAGAAATCAGGCAGCAAACCTGGCGGGGCCATCTGATGGCTGCGAGTACCCATGCAGCCCCAGACCCTGCAGGTCACCACACTCCATGTTCCCCTAAGGTGGGGTTACTGACTCTCCCAGGTTGACATCAGCAGCATGACATCCCCAAACAGGATGAAATTGGACTTAGAAGCTGATTTCCTTCTTTTCCCCTTTTTCCCTTCCATCTCAAGGGCACCAAGCACTGCATGCAGGCAGGGATCAGCAGGGTCGAGGGGAGCCATGGAGCGAGCAGCAGCCCCAAGCACTACCTTTGACATCCATCTCCTCCTCCATGCTCTGGATGTAGGTGGGGGACTTCTGCTGGACGAAGTAGAGCACCTCAATGGCGTTGGACATCCAGAAGAGGATGTGCTGCAGGTCTGGCAGCAGGTCCGCAATGGTGAAACACGACAGGGCAGCAGGGTCCTGGCTGGGGGGGGGACAGAGCAGACATTGCAGCATCGCTGCTCATCACCAAGGGATTTGGGGTGAAACCAACCCAAAAAGCAGCAGAGAGCTTTTGCATCCCACTGCTGAGCTTTAGGAGAGCCCTGTGCAAGCAGCAAGCTGGGAGATCCTGCTCTGCAGGATAGGTTTTGTTGGCACCACTGAGGTACCCCAATGATGGATCCAACCCATCTGCAGGAATTGCTGCAGAGCAGATCTCCCCAACAGATCTGCGCTGCTGTTGCTGCCAGGTCTGGTGGTTAAACTCAGACTGCCCAGCACTGGGCCATTCCAAAATAAAACAAATAGAAAGCAGCTGGGAGGTTTCTCAATGGCTGAAGCACTTTTTCCTGCTGTAGCGAAGGGCTGGGAGGTTGCCCTTAAGGAGACCTCAGCAAAAGCACTGATGGTTTCTCCAGATGCTGCTTTGGAGCCTGGAATTTGGGACTGGCAGTGGGGCCAGTGGCAAAATGAGGATAGATAAAAATTCATGGGATTTAGCAGGGAAATGCCATGTGCATCTGTGCTGGCAGCTGGGTGGGCACAGCTGGGTGGGAGGGAGAATTGGGCTGGATTCTCCCAGTTTTGGGGCAAAGAAAGAAGGGTGGCACTTACTGCTGGGATTGCTTCTCAGCCAGCTCCCGTGTGCGCTCCTGGGCAGGGAGAGAAAGAGAGAGCACAGATGGTGACTGCTGGCATTGCTGCACATGGGGACCAGGGTGGGAGCCAAGGGGATCCCCGCTGTCCCCAGCCCCCCAGTGCCAACTGACCCACACTGTCCTCTGGATCATTTTGGCCGCTTTGAGCAGCAGCTGCCCGAAGTCCCCAGGCTGGAAGCTGGTGGCTGAGTGCTGGATGCAGAGGCACAGCAGAAAGGCAGGCGTCAGCTTGTGGTCATCTCCCCCCGGCTCGATCAGCGTCATGATGCGCCGCAGCAGCACATCCTCGACCTCTGGCTCAAACTCCAGCTGCAGCCTCCTGCGGGGAGCCCTGGGACCATCGCTGGGCTCAGGGCTCTGTCGGTTGGCATCGAGCCCCCCCTGCTCTTTCAGCAGGCTGCCGCACGTCCCACATACAGAGGGGCCATCGGGGTGCAGGGCCCGCAGCCTCAGCAGGGTCTGTGCCGGCAGCGGTTGTGCCTTCGTGGGGTCCTTGTAGAGCAGCAGGTAATAGAGCCCGAGGGACAGCAGGTCCCCGTGCCGCAGCACAACGGTCCGGGTCACCGCGGAGAAGTTAACGGAGACGCTGGCACCGGCGATGGGCTCCAGCACCAACTTCTCCTCCGAGCGGTGCCACGATGCTCGCAGCCTCCTGATGGTGCAGTGCAGGGGTAAGACGTCCGGCGCCGAAAGGCTGATGCTGGGTTTGCTCGCCTGCGTCCTCTGGCCCACCGTGTGCTGCTCGCGGTTCAGCAGGTACACCAGGCTGTCCTGTGAGGGGGGGGCATGCAGAATCAGTGGGGTCTACAGCCCCCTGCCACCCCCACGCATGGCCTTGGCAGAACCACGGTTCTCTCTTCCTTTTTTTCCTTGCACAGATGGGGAGCTCACGCAGCACAAAAAGCGCGGGCAGTGCAGCCAGGACCCGTGTGCACCCTGCTGCTTCTGCACCCAGATGTGCAAACGGGCAGAGCAGCAAGCCCAACAAATGGGCACCGTAACTCCAGGCATGTAACAGATGGGGCTGCTCTGGGCAGAAGGAGCCCTCCTCCCAGCTGCAGCGATGGCCACCAAGCAGGCTGGGGGGGGCTGCCCCTGTCTGCCTGCACGCCGGTGCCTCAGTTTCCCCAGCTGCATTAGCACAGACAGAGGAGAGCTGCAGTGCTGGTGTCACATTGGGACAGAGCTGGAAATCTCGGACCAGCCAGATATTCCGCCTGGACAAAGCAACCATTAACCAAAAGAGCCGTCCCAGTCCTTTCCAGTTCTCCCAGTGCCAGCGCTCCCAGACGCGCTGTCTCGTACCACCTCCCATTACATTTACCGGAGGCAGCCAGACGGGGACGGGGCAGCGCTCGGCACCATCCTGCAGAACAGGCTCTGCATTGCACCGGGGCAGCGACTCTGCCGTGGGGCTTTTCTGAGGCGTCTCTCCACCAGCCCTGCAGCCACATCCCCAGCCTGCACCGCAGCCGGGCAGGACGGATTGCACATCCCAACCCCACACAAACTCATTTTCCTAAGGATGCTCTTTCACCCCAACTCCGCCCCTCCCCCAGGAAACACCGGCCATGCATAAAGCTCCCCATCCCCATAAGCTTAAGGAGCAACAAAAAAAAGAAAAGAAGAAAGGTTGGCGGGGCGGCGAGAGCTGCGCGGTGCTTACATGCTGCTGGCTGTAGCCCTGCAGGAGCAGGAGGTGCGGGGAGTGGTAGAGGGAATACCGCATGCTGCTCCCGCTCCGCTCCTCGGGGCCGCGCAGCGCGGGGCAGTGCCGCCGGAGCTCCTCGTCCCGGGGGCGGCCCAGGCTGCTCTCGCTGAGGCTGCGCCGCAGGGCCGGGGGGGGTGCCGAGCCGTTTAGCGCCCGCCAGCACCCGCATGGCCCCCCGCGCCCGGTGCCGCTGCAGCTTCCTCGCTTGGGCGTTGATGCCTGCGGGGGGAGAGATGCGCTGCGCTCAGCTCCGATGCTGGACCGGCAGCATCCCGAAACCCGCCGGGGTGGGGAATGGGAGGCGGCGTCGGAGCGAACCCCCATCCCCCGGGGCGATGTCCCCCATGAGAGGGGAGTTTTGTGCCCCTTCGACAGCAAAAAGAGGGACCCGCAGCCCGTCCCTTCCCCCCTCCCCCATGTCCCCACTGACCGCGGGGCAACCGGGGAGCTCCGCATCCACAGCATCCCCTGCGCTGCCGGTGGAAAGCGGGGCTGGAGAGAAAACAAGCTGAATTTTTTTAGAGGGGGGGGGGGGGGAGAAGAAAAAAGAAAAAAAAACACGGAAAAATAAGAGCCTGGATGCTGCCTGCTGGCGGCGAGCGGGGCTGAGAGGCCCCCAGCCCCCAGGGAAGCAGGCAGGGAGCTGCGAGCCGCAGAGCCGCCGCAGGACCCAGCGCTCAGCACCTTCCCCCGAGCAGCGCTGGCTGCAAGACGAATGGGATTTGGAGCGAATGAGCAGAGAGTCCTAAGGCAGCAGCGTCCCCAAACCCATAGGGGAGTTCCTATGGGATCCCCCCCACAGCGCTCTGGCTCTGCAGCAGCGATAGGATGAAGTTGTAGAGTCGGAGCTCGTACCTCTGCATTACAGAACGGCAGAATGGAGGGCTTGGGGACAGCCAGAGGGATTTGGGGACGGCAATGCACAGAGTCTGGGGCTGCTTAAAGGGACACATGTAAGCCAGAGCCCAAAAACAAACCTGTCGTCTGCCTTATTTGGTGAGGAATGGGCTGCATGCACCAAAATACATTTTTGTTTGTTTTAAATCGAGCGCTCCTTTGGTGGGAAAATGGTAGGGATGCGGAGAGGGGGAGGAGAAAATAGCACCCGGTGTTGGCATGCTGTGGGATTAGGGCACAGCACGGCCTGCAGCCACTGCCAAGAGGGGGACAGACCCTTCCCACGCCCCCTTTAAAAGGCAGTGGGGTCCATCACACTGCACCGCAGATGTGAAATGTAGGGATGCCACGAGTGTGGGAGCAGAGCTCTGAGGGTGCACTGTGTCACCCCACTGCCTGGCCCCAAACAGGGACACGGGGCAGTTCTGGTGCAGCTCCTCAAGCCAGGGGGCTCGGGGTCCCCCTGCCATCACTGCTCCCTTATCTGAGGGCAGTCTGTACTGTGTTAGCTTTGCATAGGAAACCCACTGAGGAAAAAGCTGTGTTTTCACTGCCCATAGAGCCTCCGTCACCAACTCCCCCGCAAACCCAGAGCTGTGCTGGAAATATAAACAGTTCTTTTCCTGAATGAAACAAAGTCCATCCATTAGCCAAGGTATGCCTCCAGCCCTTTAGCAGTGCCTTCTCCTGCCTGGCTGTCCCCAAACCCACCCCACATCCTGGGGTAAACCTGCTGGGTTTGCTGCATGGAATCTCCACGGGTTCTGCCTCTTTTTTCAGCCCAGGGAAGAGGTGCCCTGCTCCTGGTTGGGAAATGAATCAGCTCATAAATAACTGCAAGGGACGCAGGAGAGATTTGTTTCTAATTTGGGGCAAACGCCCTTTCTGATGTGAATTGCTGAGCAGCCCCTGTAGGGAATATTTCCTGGCTGCAGCTGTGCCAAGGTGTGCCTCAGTGGTACCAACAGAGCGTGTTGGAAGGGAAGAGGTTTCACTCCCATGGTTTGCACAGCACGTGGTTCGGTCTGCAGCTTCACAGGGAAACCCAACCAGCACAGGGAACAGCACGCAATGGGGTGCCTGGAAGGAGCTGAATGCATCCCTACTTTGTGGTGCTCTGCCCCCAGCTGCCCCACATCGCTCCCCAAAAGGAGCAGGGCTGAGTGAAGCCTCGTTTCCCACAGAGCTGATCCACCTGCACTGCTGAGGAGTGGTGCCAGGAGCGCACACCTCCCTCCCCCCTGGGAAGCAGCTAATAAACTAATTAGGATAATGGGTAACCGAGCAGATAAAACTCTTAAGCCATTTGCTTCTTCACTTGTGGGCTTGTGGTTGTGGGGCCTTTCCCCTGGCTTAGCAGCAGTGTCCCATTGCGATGCCCTGCGTGGGGGCAGTTACCTACAGCTATTTCCCTATGGCTCCCAATCTGCTTTCCTCCCAGACAGCCTCCAGCTGCCTCTCCTTTTAGTTTTGCACAGAAGCCACATTTTCCATGCCAGCGCCCTGCTGCCCCAGGCACACAGCTGATGCTCAGCTCATGGCAAAGGGACATAGGAGTGGTGGCAGGGTGACCCTGCTGGTAGCACTCATGGTCCCCACTGCACCAGGAGCCACATTTCTCTTTGAGGTGCTGCTGAGGAGAGGGGAGCAGATGCTTTGTGTGCTTGGAGCAGCACCACCAGCATGGGGTGGGGAGGCTGGGGATGGGCCCAGCTGAATGGGACAGCAGCAGAAGTGAGGTTTTAGTAGTACATCTGTCAAGCAGATAGCATGAATAATTGTGGCTGGGGGTCTTCGTCTCAGAAAAGCCTGACTGGCTGCAGAAAAGGTTTTAAAAAAATAAAAACATGAGAAATGAGGGCAGTGCCCTTCTCACAGTGCCCGGGTTGAGGTGTGAGTGCTGCCGGCCCTGTCCCAGCTGGGACAATGGTTGGTGTCATCTGGAGCTGATGTCACCTTGGGCTCATGCTGGCAGCCTCTGAAGAGCCATGGCACAGCTCTCCCACCACATGCAGCCACATCTGACTGTGAGTTTAGCACTTAGGTCTTGCCCTGTTTTCTATTTAAAAACCGTTTTTTTCTTTCTTTAGAGCCAGCGCCCTTGCAAAGCACTTAGCATTGCCCTGATCCCTACTGGAGAGGAGAGGGGCACCCACCTCTGTGCCTCATCCCTGACCCCCAGGAGCACTGCAAGCAGCTCCTTGCACCTGAAAGGATGAGGAGTGATGGCCTTAAGTTGTGCCAGGGGATGCTCAGGTTGGATAACAGGGAGAAATTTCTTCTCCCAAGGAGCACTGGCACTGCTGCCCTGGGAGTGGTGGGGTCACTGGGATCACTGGAGGTGTTCCAGAACCACAGAGATGTGGCACTGAGGGATGTGGTTTGGTGTCATGCTGGGATGGGTTGGGGTTGGTGATCTTGAAGCTCTTTTCCAGCCTTAAAGATTCTATGCCGCAAGTGGGCATCCAGCTGGGGTCCCAAATTCCCCACGGAGGGAAGCGCTAAGAGCACTGCAACCAAAACGCAGCTCCTGCCCCCACCACCACCCCCACACAAACACCCCCAAGCCGCTGCCCCTGACCTGCAGTGGTGGTATCCACATCCCTGGCTGCCATCTCCTCCACCTCCGCCCGCCGCCGCAGCTCCAGCCGTCTTGAGAATCCCTCCCGGGGCTTCCACAGGTCCTGGATGAGCAGCGGCTTCTCATGGTCCCCGAGAACCCTCAGCCCCTCAGTCTGCCACCGCTTCTCGGGTCCCTCGAACCTCCCGATGACGTCGCACAGCGCGTACTGCCCGGCATTCAGCTGGCTCAGCCCGTAGCGCTCCAGAGCCTCCTTCACCAGCTCCAGTGCCCCCGAGCTGCCCGTGGCCAGAACGCTCTTGTAGTTGGTGCCCACACAGATGTTGCCTCCAAAAATCTTCAGGATGCCGGGAGCCGAAAGTTGAGTGGAGAGCTCAGCTGGGTCATCCCCGTCTGGGAAGGCGGAGGTGGAGCTGCGGTCCTTGTAGCTCAGCGTCCTGTACAGGACTTGGGAGAAGAGGCGGCTCTGGCGCTTCAGCCGGCTCTTGGATGGTGGAGCCATGGTGGAGGAGGACCCATAGAACATCGCGTGGGACGTCGTCACGGGTGGCAGCTGGGAACAGGGATAGGGAGAGATCAGGGGTGAGCGTGGCAGCCACCCCCCGAGGGACAGGGATGAGCCGGGGAGGTGATGCTGAGGCTTCCAGAGGCAGCAGCATGGGATGGAGGTTCCCCTGGTGCAGCTCCTCTGCACCACACAGACACTGCAGCACGGATTTGTCCCGGGGAGGTTAATTTCTGCCGTGTGCACTGTGAGGTCCCTCCTGCCTAAGCACATCTGCGCTGGGAGGAGAGCAGAGCCCAGCAGCAAAGTGGGACCTGCAGAGCCCAGCCTGGGTGGGAGCCAGCGCCTCGGAGCCACTTTCTCTAACGAGTTTGTGGAGCAATCCCATTTTTTAGAGGTGAAACAGAAAGCTTGAGTGCAAATTGAATTACTCAGAGGTCGCTGCTAAACGCTTCTGCTCACTGAGAGGCACAGGGTGAAAACAGGCTCTAATTGGCCTTTCCATAAACGTCCTTGCTCTGGCAAATCCTGCTGCCGGTTTGCAGAGGACGTTAAAGCACACGGCGGCATCGCCAAGCACAGTGCCTGAAATGTGTGTTTGTTGTCCACCTCCACTGGGAAAAGCACATGGCTGGGGATGTGGGTGGCTCTGTGTGTGCTCAGCAGGACCCAGCTCGGTGCAGCTCCAGCACTGTCAGCAGTGATGCCAACCCTGGACAGCCTCCACGCTGCCATCTAATTCGGGAAGAAAAAGCGTCCCTGCTGCTAATGGAAGAGGTCACCTTCCCACTGGGAACAGCCTCGCTTCTGTGCACAAAGGATTTCTGCAGGGTGGGGATATCCCGGGGCCAGGAGAGCCTGGAATGCTGCAGGTGGGGAAACTGAGGCACCAGTGAGTTCCACGGCTGCAGGACGAGCCTGGGAGGCTGCTGCACCTCTGGTCACCCCTCTCACCCCAGGGACATCTCACAACCTTCTGGCCCCCCTTGTAACTGGGGAAACTAAGCAGGGACAAGGCTGGAGCTGCAGATCCTTTGTGTCAGAGGCTGCTCCTGCCTGGGTTGCCCCTTCATGTCAAAGGGTGCAGAGGCAGATCCCACTTGGGAGCAGGACAGGGTACCCCCAAAACCCCAACTGCTGCATGCAGAAACCGCTGCGAACAAGGATGCAGGAGATAAATCTTTGCCACTGAGCCACTGGGTCAGGTGGGCAGATTTAATCTCCTCTGCTCTGCATTACCCACGGCACAGAGGGAAACCTTGCAACATCTGCTGCCGTGAGGTCACTCCTCCATGCCCACATGGCAGGCAGGTTGCTGCCTCCTTCAATTCGGTATTTATAGCACTGCTATTTTCTTTCTATCAGACACAGCACCTGCAGAGAGCAGCGGCAGAGGCTTTTCACAGAGCAAGTGCTTGGAAAAACACAAAGCCCAGACTGAGACAAACCCTTCGGTTGCTCATCTGCTCAGCAGCCGGAGCAGCAGTGAGGTGAGCCCCATCAGGACCAGCCCACCTGCACAACCCCTGCCTGCCCCCAGCCTGGGGTGGCTGCACATCTCCCTGCTCTCGTGGGACATCACACCCAAGCCAGCTCATTCTGTGCTCTTTCTACAGTGCTGTGACAAACACCATTAGTATTCACACGGTCCATCCACCAGGCAGACATCCCAGTGGTCCTGCTCCTCCTGCTGCCCTTACCTCGCCATCCTTCTCACGGGCTTGCCGTCCTTCCATCCGTCCTCTTCCTCAGCGTGGGCATCCCCCCAGCACACATGGTCCCAGCACACATCTGTCTGTAGGAGGAAGAGGAGGAGAGGTCACGGGCTGCTCAGAGCCACCGCAGTGCCCTCTTCTGCTTTGGGGGCTCAGAGATGCCATGCATCACCAGCTATGTGCAGCACTGCTGACCCACCTGGAGCCGCAACAGTTTTATTCCTCCTTCCTTCAAAGCAACTGGTGAGGGCTGCAGGAAGGATGCAGCATCCACAGTGTGGCAGATACCCATCACCCATGGGTGGGATATCTCAGCCCAGCTCCAAGCTCAGGACCCATCTCAGCAGGAAGAGTGCTGGAGGAAACCCAGGCATGGACAGCAAAGAGGGCAGGGAGAGAATAGTGAAAGGAGGAGAAATGAGATCAGAAAGGGATAGTGTAGAGGAAATGGAGGTTACAGGCTTGCTGCTGATCTCACTGCTTTCCCCAAGCCCGTGCATCCCTGGAGACACCCATGGGTACACAATGGGTCCTGCAGCCAGAGCCCAATCATACGCCCATCAGGATTTATTTCTCCTGGACCTTGGCCCAGGATCTTGGTGTGTTTTGCTGAAGATTGAGGAGTGCCACCAAACAGCATCCCCTCACTTTCCTTAGTGCAGATATGCAGGAATGGGACCAGCAGGAACCAAACACGCGAGGGAGAAGCTGCACCTGCAGTGTGATTTCATGGGTGTTATCAGAAGTAGACAGGAGGGCATGAGATAGAGCAGCAGAAAAGAGCCCATGGCAATTCAAGACTAAAGCACCACTCCATTAAATTCCCCGTCCAGGAGCTGGGAGTGGGTTCAATTCAGCCCAGCAGTGGGCTATGGGAGAGCCCTCTGCCAGGTGCTGGTTGGGATGCACAACACCAAGAGGGCCTGGGCACCCCCCCACCTTCCTTTGCTGCTGTGATTAATCACTCCCGCTGCTTAAATATTTATGCCTTCTTTCCAGCGTGTCTGGCTTCGGCTGCCAGACATTGATTCCTGTCATGCTTTGCTCCATGCAATTAACGAGCTGTTGGCTACCACCTATTTTCTCCCCTGCGAGAGTGTTTGGATGCCTTAATTGAGCCCCATCCATCCTGAACTGATGAGAAGTGGGCAGAGCAGGGGTTGCTCTCATCCTCGGCTGTAGGGTGCTTTCTGCACCCCTCTCCCAGCCAGATGTAGGAGCTCCTTTTGGTTGCTGCCAGCCCAAATCCAGATCTGACAGTGCCACACCATGGGGCAAGGACTGGTCCCTTCCAACCAAAGCTTTTCTACGATGAGATACAACGTATTCACACAGCGAATGAACTTTCTGTTTGTTTTTCCCGAGCAAATTGTCATTAATGTGAAAACTCCCAGTTCTCAGAAAGGCAGACAGACACACAGCCCCAGCAGCTCCTGCAGGACACGGGCTGTGCTCACCCCAACACGTCAGGGACAGGAAAACACTCCAAGCTCCTCTTGTTATTTTTGGGAGCAGAAAGATTTCCCTTTCGCAGCCTGCCGTCGTTGGGATGCGTTTTGTTTGCCCAGCTTTGTCCAAGCTATGAGCACTGTGTGAGCCATAGATTTCCCAAAAACCATTTCTATCTGCTCCCAAACAAGCGATCAAAGCACCGAAATGCTTTGAGGCAGGGCGGTAGGCAGCAGTGCCCAGCAGTGAGATCTGCTCTGATAACAGCCTTTCAAATAGATCGGGTGTATTTCGTGTGGGCTTTCTTGATGCTGGATAATGCCACCTCTAAACACCGGACTGGAGTGACTTTTTTAATACCACGGAGTGCAGATTTTGGCAGGAGTATCACCTCTCCTAACTCAAACCCCTCACCAAGCCATACTCCAAGGGGGCTGGCTCTCTGCATGTCAGGGGGTGGAACCACTTCTGCTCATCAGGCTCTATTTTCCACCCGCCACGTAGGTGGCAGGAATGTCTTCCTGGTGCTGAGCTCTTTAATCAGCCCAGGCCCAAACTGGATCCCTCCTCCTGCCTGGGGGATGGGATTGGACCCATCCATCTGTAGCCACCAGGTCACCACTGCTATTACAGCACTTGGTCGCTATTACAGCGACGTCCCCAGGGCTCATCCCATCTCAGCTCTGCACGGCGCTGCCCACGTGTGCACATCACGGATGGCCAGCGAGGTTCCAGCTGTGACCATCCCAGAAAGGTTATTTGCACAGAGCCCTGTTTGAAAAATTTCCCTTTTTTTTTTAAATGTTTTTTTTTTTTTTTTCTTTTTTTTCCTAATGGAAACCACGCAGACTCACAGCCTCAGTACAGCAAGAACGGCTGCAGCCTGGATGCTGTGGGGAGGGAGAGGCCGCCCCAGCACTGCAATGTGGAACAAATTAGAACTCAGAGAGCAGAGGAAATGAGAACAGCCCGGTGTTGGCACACTCAGCCTGGCTGCAAACCTCTGCAGATCCCCTCCCTGCAGCCCAGTGCCGCTGCCCACGCCCTCCATGGAGAACCCCTGCACCCCCTCCCCAAAAGGCAGCACCCAATCTCTGCTTTGCAGCACGGCTCTGCACTCATGATTATTGTGTGAGTTTTTATCTGTCTAATCTGGGGCCAGGCTGGTAATGTCAGCTCCAGCCCACTGCTGTCCTGAGCCGGATCAGTGTGGGTAAACTCCTTATGGTGTTATTATTAGCAGCACCTCTCCACGATGGCACCCGGAGCCCAACCCAGGGCTGCTCCAATGGGACAGCAAACAGCCAGCCATTCCTATAGGCAACAACAACTTCACAACCAGATCACAATGATTTGGGACCTACAGGAGGAGGCCTTGAAGCAGCTCCCTTTTTTCCTTGCTTTTTATTTTTATCCTCCTTTTTAGGGTCTTTTGAGCCACAAACGTGCACCAGCTCTCCAGTACCAAGTCCCAGTGACCGCCTTCTGCCTGTGCAGCTCTATTCACACATCCAAAAAACATTTCACAAAGAGAGCTTGCTTTCCACTGCCTTCCAAGCAGCCGAGTCGCAGCAGGCAGCCTAATTATGAGACCTTGGCAATATATATTTTTTTCTAGTGATAATTAACTGATCCTGGAGAGCACAGAAAATAAGCACTTCCCCGGCAAGTAGAAACCTCCCCTGAGTTTTCTCTGCTAAAGTTATAACTCAGCAAGAAACCTCACCAGCCTGCTGCGAAGTGCAGTGTCCCCAGATTATCTGCCAGGGCTTTGGGATGCCACCACGGTGCCAAGCAGCTGCGTGCAGACACAGTAATGTGAGTGCAGCACCAACGAGCGCAACCTCAACAGGGGCAGGATCCCAAAGGCATGGTGAAAGCACAAAGCACCCAAGTGGTGGGTGGAGGACGGATCCAGCCGGGCAGGAAGTGGGACAGAGGGCTCGAAGGGCAGAGGGGTCCCAAGAGTGCACGTTAGGATGATGGTGCCAAGGTGCTGCGTCCCATGGTGCAGCCCTCCTGTGCCCGGCGCGGCTCGCAGGGCAGGTTTGGTCTCCAGTGGCAACCAGGCAAGCCTAGACTCTCGCCTGCCCTCCTCTCCCGAAGACGGCGTCCAAACGTCCCTATCGCAACGGGGTCCCGAAGACTCCATCCCGGAGACAACAGCGGGGACAAGCGAGGGACCCGCGTTTGCGCGGAGGAATTGGGGGTAGGATGTCCCGGCGATGCTAAACCCCCCACTCCAAAAACACCGATGAAATAAATGACAAATAATGATCATAAAGAAGCAAGGCGCCCCGCCGTCCCGCTGCCCCCCTCGGAAGGTACTCACCCGGCGCAGCCCCGGCGGTGCGGTGCGGTGAGCTGCGTGCGGGGCCGGGGCGGAGCGGAACGGAGCGGAACGGAGCGGAGCTGAGCGACCCCGCGGCGCCACCCCGCGGCCTCCGCTGCCCCAACAGCGCCCCGAGCAGCGGCCCCGGGCGGGTGGGGTGATGGGGTCGGGCTTGGGGACAAGTTCGGCGGCGTCACGGCCTCAGGGGAGCGTGGGGACAGCGGGGCGGTGCGAGGGAGAGGGCAGCGTGTGGGCGCGCGGGGCCACTGCGGGATGGGGCCGGACTGTGCCTGAAGCAGCTGGCCGTGATGCAGGGGGGGTCCCGATTTCAGGGTCCCGACTCAACTGAGACCTTTCTCCCTTTCTCCTTTCCCAAGTGGGCTGAGCTGAGGGGATGCCGGGGCCATGGGTGCAGTGAAGTGTGTCGGTGCTCAGCGCTCCATCGCTGCGCTCTCTGCTTTCACCACCGAGTGATGCTATTTAGGGCAAGTCGGACCAAAAATGAGTTCATTTCCTTATGTTTTGGGAAACTCGTTCTGACTTAACACGCAAGCAATAGTGAGGTATCTTGAGTTTTTATTTCAACCCTACTCCACAGGAAACATCATTCGCTAGTGTTATCTTCCTCAGTTTTGCTTTTAATTTGATCCAGTACTGTGTTAAATATAAAATACTGCTTGACCAAGAACGGATGGTGAAAAATACAAGATGCTAAAAAGGGAGCTCCTTCACAGACGTTACGAATTGTTTAAAATTAGTACGAAATAGGCTGACAAACAGATAGCATGTTGTGCATCCTGCCCCGCTGTACAAGGAAAGGGCACATAAAGGAGAGGCTCAGCATGGGGATAGGCGAGTGGTGATGTCCTCAGTGTGCTCTGTGGTGGCCTCAGAAAGGTCCTTCTGGGCTGCACGTCCCCAGCACGCTTCTGAGATAAATGGTGTGGGACAAAGCCCAGGGACAAAACCCCACGGGCAGCCTCTGCCAGGGGATGTTGCAATGGGGCTGATCCTCGGTGTGGGGGAGGAGAGCTGGGTGCACTCAACCCAGTGCCACCATGTACCACTGGTGACAAACTCAGGGACAGATGGAGCACAGTGCCTGCGAATGACCAGCCATCCTCCAGCTGCTCCACAGAGCCCAAACTGAGCCCTGTGAGATTGGTCACTGTCTGCACCCCCAATTTACAGCTGGGGAAACTGAGGCACAGAGTAATGACTTGCCAGATAGCAAAAAATGGCAGCTTGCAGTCTTGGACCTTCTATTCTGACCCCAAATTCACCCCACAAACTGCCCATCACTCAGTGCTCAGTTCTTCCCTCTTCTCCCTCCCACAGGGCTGAGAAGTGTTGGGCAAAGGAACAAAGGCCGCATCCTGGGGACTTGGGGGAAGTGATGACAGAGACCTCACCAGGTCCATCCCCTCCTGTCCCCAAGACCTCCTGTCACCCTGAGAGCCCTCCAGGCTGAAGGCTGCTCTGGGACACCAAGGGCAGAGCCCCAGCAGCCCTGTGCCAGGCTGGACGCAGGGCACAGCCCCTTCTTGGAACCCTTTGCCTATGGAAAAGGGTTTTTTTTGCCCACATGAAGACTACAGCCACCATGTCAAGAGGGGAAGAGCATCTGGGAAACTTCTCTTTGGTAATTTGCTGCAAAATGGCATGGCTGTGTGGAGCCACTACCAAGGCCTTCTCCTGGGATAATGAAACCAAGGCTGAGCACTTCAAGCTCCAGGGTCAGGACAGCCCAAATGCAGCCAGGTGACACCGAGAGCAGCAAGGAAACCAAGAGACCCTAGGAGAAAACAGCTGGGAGGGCTCTGAGGGCCTGTCCAGGGGGAACACACAAGACGTGTGCTTAATACTGGTTTGGAGAAAGGGTTTTCTGGTGCATTGGAGTCTGGGGAACGCTGGAAGAGATTCAAGTTTCAATGGCAAGTAAGGCTTTGTTGATTCAGGACCTTCCTGTCAAGAGCATGGGAGGGGAAGGCTGATGCTGAAATGATTTCTGACCATTTGTAGACCAAGCAGGTGTGCCAATGAGAGCTCCACTCAGGCCTTTTTTAGGGGGCTCCACTCTGCCTCCGCAGGCTGGGATGGCTGTGAGCTTGCTGCAGGTCCCCAGGGTGTCACCAGCCAAGGAAGTGTGGGGACACGGCCCCAGTGGGATGCTTGGGGTTAGCAGGGTGAGCGAAGCTCCCCTATTGCCTGCAGCCCTTCAGGTGGTCACCATGTTATGAAAACATTGCCTAAAAAAATAAACAGTTCTCAAGGTTAAAAAAGAAAAATCTGTTTAAAATCAAAATCATGCAGGGGGCAGCAGGAGGCTTCAGGGTGAGCCCACGGCCCAGGCTCCCCTCCCTGCTCCCCTTCCATGTCCCCATGGATGTGAAGTGTCCTTAAGGCGTCTATCGGGACGTTTTGGCCTCCAGTGCATCGGGCCGGTAGAGGTACCTCCAAATGGCATAGTAATGGATGCCAGCTCCAATGGCCACGAAGAGGTGCCAGATGGCGTGGGCAAAGGGGATGCGGCCATCACTTTTGAAGAAGATCATGCCCAGGCAGTAGAAAATCCCGCCGGCCACCAGCTCTGGGAGGCCATCCCTGTTGGGCTGAGAGAAAAGCACAGGGACAGTATGGTCACCACCAGCAACGTGTCAGAGCCTCGTTCTACACCAACCCCTCCTTATGGCCAGCAGCTCAGCTTTGCTCGGATGCTCTCAATACAATGGAGCATGGAGAGCAGCTCCTTTGGAGACGGCCACGGGCACACGCGGTACGTGCAGGGCACCCGAATCGCAATCGAACCACATCATCTTTGATGATCACCTCATCCATCACCAACTGCCTGCAGGCTGGACCGTGCCAACCTCCTGGAGCATCCCAACCCCACTGGACATGCCCTCGTGCTGAGCCCACGTGCCTCCCAGCATGGCTTACCATGGAGAGGATGACCAAGGCAGGGAAGAAGCCCATGATCACGTAGCACACCAGCTCCACCAGCTTGTACCTGCAGCCAATGGAGAAGGTGCTTGGAGGCAGGGTCCGATTTTACATTTGTATCTCATCCATCTACGGGTGCCACCACAGGAGTTCCCACGTCCAGACGTGAGCTGGCAGCTCGTACAGAGGGTTTTGGGAAGGCTTTGGGGGCTTTAGCTTTCCATCTGGTGCCACCCCGTGGAAGAACACACTCATGACAGCACATCCTCACTCCCACATCCCTGCCACAGAGCTGCAGCCTCTTAAAAACACAGCGTATAGGGTAAGGATGCGATCCTCCTGCCCAGGAGGCTGCCCAGGGACCCCACGTCTGTCTGTCTATCCGCACGTCTCCGTCTATGGCCTCTCTCACAGCCGGACTGTTGCACGGGGGCTTTCGGGGAAGGAAGGGCAGAGCTGGGCTGGGTAAAGGCACTGACCTCTCGTGGAAGAAGAACACGTAGACGGTGCCGACAGATGCCATGATCCAGATGATCCAGCGCATGTGGGAGGCCCAGGGCCCCAGCTCCCTTAGGTTCAGCCTGCAAGACCCAGGGCTGCGGTGAGGGGCACCCCACATCTTTTGCTGCACCCCAACCTGCTGCTGTGCCCCATCTTTCTGCATCCCAACCTTCTGCTGTGCCCCAGCCCTCCTGCAGGCAGGAGGTGCTGGAGCAATGGTGCCCTTGCCCTTCCCACCCATAACATCAGCTGAAAGTGGTTGAAATGCAGAGAATGGGAAGTTCTAATGAAAACATGCAATCTCTGACCATTACTTCTGGGCTGGTTTCTGCCTTCTATTAGGACTGAGCACGCCGGGCACTCACCATGGAGCATATGATGCTGCAATGAAGAAGTAAATCACCATCCTGTCGAACATGTGCAAGCAGTGCTCCACGGTCCTGCAGGATGGACATACAGATGGAGTCAGAGCCCGTGGCACTGTGCTCTGTAAAACCAGATACGTTTGCAAAAAGAAAAGAAAATGCTTTTTCCCATTGGCATAGCTCAGAAAAACTTTGACCAGGAGGATTTGGGCTGTGCTACAATTACAAACACGAGATTGAGCCCCCAGTGGGCAGAGCTGGTACCTGAGATGCCTCTTCTTCCAGGAGATGGTGTGGAAGATGGTGGAGACGATGAAGAGGCTGGACAAGCCAAAGCCATAGATCCAGGCTGAGATGGTCTCCCACCGGTCGTCGGAGAGGACGTAGAGGATGGAGCTGCCGAGGATGCTGGGCAGGATCCAGAACTGGGAGGAGAAGGAGCCTGCTGGTCACAACTTGCATGCCCACTGAGCAGTTGATCTATGGTCCCCACACTTCACCACACAGAAGTGCAGGCAAGCAGGGGCATGGGGGAGGAGAAGGGCATGAGGAGGACCAGCACCTCTTGTCCATGCCATGGGCTTGGAGCAGGAGCCAGAAGCTCCTCGGGGGGCTCATTCCCATCACCATACAGACAGCCCCATTGCTGCTCCTGGTGTGAAAATTCTCCTTCTTAGGGGGAGCCATGCTTTGCCAAATATTCCTACTCTGCTGAGGGCCATCCAAAAAGGACCATCTCACACCAGGGCTGGAGCAGGAAGGAGAGCATTCCCAGAGCACCAGGCAGAGCTGCTCATCCCAACCCTGAGACCCTCAAGGGCTGCAGGGCTGATTGCTGATGTTTTTAGGTGACCCCTGGGGCCAGGCACTGTCCCATACCCAAGGAGGGGACACAGACTCACCGCGTGTGTGGCACAGTTGGCCGCATGCTCGTAATCTGTCGGCTGGTACCTGCGGTTGGAGGGAACACGATGGTTCATGAACCTGCAATGGAGCAGGGAGGGAAACACATGAAGGAATGGGAGGACTGGGAAAGCCCTTTTGGAGGGCAGGGTATCTCCTGTACCCACTCCATAGCCCCAGCAAGTGTCCCAGGGCTGATCGCTGCTGGGGAAGCCATGCCATGCTCCCTAGGAAACTTTCTTCTTTTTTATTCTGGTTCTCTTTGCCTGAAGTATTGGATTGCTCCTGGCGTGCAGAGGAATGTATCGATTTCCCCCATCAGATCAATGCACACTGAGCAATAAAGAGCTGTGCCAGCAGCCCACTGCCGGGTAGGTGGTGCTGTACTGGGAGCAAATTCAATGCGCGTCCCTGAAAGCAGCCATGCCCCACTGCCTTCTCCAACAGGGTGAGCGTAGAGAAAGGGAATAATGGGCCATCCTTCCCTGTCTGCCTCTCATAAAGAGTGATTTGAAGATGCTTTTTGCTGCAGATCAGACCAGGACAGCCGGGTGCAGGGGCAGGAGATGGTCTAATTGCTCCCTGACCCTGTTTGCTCTGCACCATCTGCAGCATGTTTCACAGCACAGCTGTGCACAGCCAGGGGCTGGGGGTTGGCTGGACCTTGCTGCAGGGCTGAGGGTGACCCTGAGGGAGAGATACAGAGGGGTTCAGCTCCCTGTGCTCTGCAAATAGAGGGGATGTTGCTTACAATGTACGTTAGACCTTAAGGAAACCAGTGCTGCCCACAGCCAGGATGCAAGTGAGTATCCCTGGGACTGCCCCCTCCACCCCTGGAGATGCCACCTCCATCATGGGGACACTGGGTTCCCCCCATTCCACCAGGGCCACCAGGGCTGGCTGCACTCCCCATGCCCCAGCCACATCCCCCCCTGCTGGAGGCCACCACTGCCCCACGTTGCCAGGAGACTGTCCCCAGGTCCCCCTCGCTTTCTGCTTCTCTTTCTCTTTTCCCTTTTCATAACCAGGAGAAGTGGGGCTGCAGGCCCAGACGTCCCTCGTGACGTTGCAGTTGCTGGGGTAACATGCACACAGCCTTTCCTTGCATTTATTTTTTTAACAGAGCCCCGCGCCTGCTGCTGCTCCATCCTGACCTCGTGGCAGTGGCTGTGAGGGGCACAGAGGGGAGGTCTGTTCCCACAGCCCTCCCAGCCCTTTGGGCAGAGCATTTCAGCAAACACTGCGTGACTGCAAAGCCCAAAAGGCACAGAAAAGTTTAAAACCTCCGTGATGGGAGCACGAGCCTATTCTCTTCTTTGGGACAGCGCATGAGAAGCAGAGCACCCCAGGGTTTAGCACAGCCCTCAGGGCTCCCAGAATCGTTTTGCTCCCAGAATTGGTGGGGACCAAACGTGGGTCACTGCTGCAGCCCCAGAGCTGTGCCTGCCCTCCCCGGGCCCCTTGCCCAGCAAGGGAGACTGAAAAGGGCCCAAGCACCCGGCTCAGCCCGGAGGAACAAAGAGCCCCTTGTCTCCAGCAGCCGGGCCAGAGCACAGAGACAGCTTCCCAGGCTTGCTTCTTTCTCCTTCTCTTTCTCCCACTCTGTTTTTTTTTGTTTTGTTTTGTTTTTTTTCTTCTTCTTGTTTTGTAGTTGTGGGTTTTTGTGTTTTTGTGGGTTTGGTTTTTTTTTTTTTTTTTTTTTTTTTTAAAGACTTCTGTCCAGGAACAGAGTTCTGACCTCAAAAAATCAGCCAGATCTGCCTGGCTTTACCAGTGCTGGGAGAGAAGAAAGTGAAAACAGGGATCAGTTAAATGAATCCTTGGGACGGCTCATGGGGGTGTATTGGAGTGTCTGACATTGCTCTGTGTCGAGCTGTATACATTCCACATCTCATCCACCTCTGCATCAAGGAGTTGGGCACAGCCAGCACATCCTCTGCCCACCAACAGTCAATGCTGGGTGCTGGCAGGTGCAGGGAATGACCCAGAGCAGCTGACTGCTTTGGGTTTCACCTGTGAATGGCTTATAAAAGGGCAGAGCTGACTCAGAGTTTGGTTTTATGCTTTTGGAAGTGAGAGCTGCTTTGTTGTGCCTCCTGCTCAAGGAGAAACAGGATTGCACCCTGGTAGTGGCATATTGCAGAGAGGATGGATGGAAAAGGCAACAGCCCTTACTGGATGCTGATGTGGTGGTAAGATCCTTCTGGGTGTTCCTTGATAGAGCAAGGCTTGGGAGCATGTGTGTGCTGTGATGTGTGCAGTGCAGAGATGGAGCAGATGCGGCCCTGCAGGGCTGACCACCCCACACCCTCTCTGCACATGGCCTGTGTTTGCCCTACTGAGCCTGGAGGCAGAATACCTTGTGCTGATGCCAGGGCTTGGTCTTTGGGCTTGTGGTTGTGCACATGCTGCTACAGCACCCCTCTAAGCTGGGACTTGGTGTGCACTGCTTCTTTCCCATAATCTGATAAAGCTCCAACTGCAGCTCCTGTAAGAGGCTCCATCCTCTTGAGCTCCTTTGCAGCTCAGTGTGCTGCACGTGAAGGTGCAGAGGAGGGCTTACATTCTCCATGGGGAAGCAAAAATGCAGAAGCTGATGCTGCCTGGCACTGCCATCTGTGGAGCTGCCCACGCAGGCATGTGCCCCATTGGAGCCTCTGCTCCCATGTGTGCTCCTACAGAACATATGGTGCTCCTTTAGGTATGGATACTTATTTTTCTCTCCGGCAGCTTTCTGCTCTCTGTACAGACAGCATCTCCAGCTCTTCTGAGGCAACTCGTGACCCCTCAGCCACAGCAGAGCTGTTGTTTATTCACAGCAGATGGGATCTGTGAGTGTTTCCCAAATAACTTTCTGAGCTGGGACTTATTGTTTCATTTGGTCCTGGCAAGCCCTGATTAGTCACAACATGACTCTGATCCCCCAGGTGCTCAGTGGATGTTTGCAGGGCTGCTTCCAGGGCTGAAAACTCCCCTTATTTGCTATTTCTTTGCTGGGGAAGGCACTGGGCATGCTTCTCACTGCCTAGCCTGCATCACTGTGAGCACAGAGGTCAGTGGTATGGTTCCTGAGCATTCCCTCCCTGGCTGAACCATTTCACCAGCCAGGAAGCAGATGGAATGGTTTCAAGCAATATCATCTGCACCAAAGTGCAGTGTAGGAGCACAGCTTTGGACCCCAACTTTCCTGGAACTCAGGACTGCTCAGCTCATTGGTGACTGAAGCAAGCACTGTGATGTTGGTGGTATTTGGCCTCATCAGGAGATATCCCATAGAGCTCTCCTAACTCAGGATTACGAGCACTACATGAAAATGTTTGTGGCTTAAGGTTCAGTTTCACCTGGAAAGTTCCAAAGGGTGCCTGAGTCCTGCAGAGCCCGCATCTCCTGTGCACCAGTCAGCTACACTGGGCAGTGCCTCACGTTCCATGTATGCACTGAATGCTATCTCATGGAATGGGCCAGGGTGAGCTGTGCCAAGGAATCACATCAGGCTGATATCTAACACCAGCTGGAGGATGGACGTGGTGCATCCATTTCCCAGCTGGAAAAGAGACTGCCCTTCCCCAGCAGCATTCGGCTTGGCTGCCCATGGGGCTTGCTGCTGCCCATGCAGTGATTTCTGCCTGCTCCCCCGACCCATCCCAAAGGAAGGAGATGGGTGGTTTGGGGGGGATGTCCCCTTCTCCAACCAACTGTGCTGAGGATGCTGTGAGCACTCATTGCCTTCCCAGTACCTGGATGCAACAACTGCAATCTGGACAAACTTCATGCATGAGTTCTAGCAGTGCTGACTTCAGAGGGTGAGTCAAACTGCTTCTAAGCTGAGTCAATATTTTGGTGAGATGTGGTGATCCTATTTTTCATGGGGTCTCTCTCAGGGGTCCCCGGTCAGCACTGCAGGTCCCAATGGGCACGGTGTGACCCATGAGCAGCCCCTGCCCCTCCAGAGCTGCCATCCTAATGCTGAAAGCATTCCCCTTCTCACTGCTTCATCATACGGGCTGCGGGGGAAGCAGAGATCTTGGAAAACAGCTCTGTGTGTGTGGGAGCAGATGAGGGCTGCTTGTGCTTCCTTTACAAAGCAAACAGGGAGAAAATGCTCCCAGTGCAATTGCTCTGCCTAGGCTGAGTCTTTGTGCATTTGGAGTCTGAACACCCCAATGCTTTTGCTGCCTTCTGCACTGATGGCTCCCAGAGGTGCACAGGATGGGACCAGTCTGTGTCTCCTTGCTTAGCACGTAAGCGTGCAGGGAGCAGTGAAGTTCTCCCCTGACCTTTCACTCCATCCCTCAGTGCTGGTGGATGTGGCAGTGCTCGCTCACATTCTACATGCCATGCAGACAAGGCTGGAGCAGGCACCTATAGACAGTCCTGTCATAAGGACTATCCTGGCTGCTGTTCCTCTGTGCAGGGCAAGACAAGCAAATGCAATAAGACGTGGAGCCTCTTCTGTGGGCAAATCAAATCCTGAGCCTGTACCACTTAATTATAGTGATTCAGTGCAGGCTGCAGCTCCCAGCAGTGCCCTCACCCTGGCTGCTCTACTCCAGAGCTGCAGGACCTGGCCAGATGCAGCCGCTCCCCATGTAATCTTGTTTCCTTTCAATTACAGTTCCTGATGGTCCAATGCTGAGAAGCATTTATGTGCCTGCAGGGAGACCTGAGCTGAACTGCTGTTGCACACAGACACCCAATAGAGAGCCCACAGTGAAAAGCGAGCCAAAGCAGCACAGGGTAAGGGAGGGATCGTTTACTGGCCTGTGACCTGGCCCCAGTGGGTTCCAGGGATGATGTGACCACACTGATCCACTGCTATAGTGGGAAATGGGGACACCCCCTCTGCCTTCCTTCTTTCAAGAGCAGTGCTCCATCCCCAAAGCCCACCTGAGAGCACTCAGTGCCCTCCAGCCCTGGGTTTCTCCCTGTGGTTTTCAGCTTGCTCCTGCATTGATCCCATTGCCTTTCATCTCTGTTGAAACCACTGCAGCTCCTACCCAACAGGTCGTTGTGTTTTATTTATTCCTACTGGCAGGTGTATTGATGGCCAAGTTCCTCCTTTCTTGGTCCTCACTTGAAATTAGATAAAAGACATTAAAAATGGAGCTGTTCCAGGCCTTTCCACCACAAAGGAAACTTTTTGCTTTATTTTCTGAGGAATTGAGAGTTCTTTACCCTCTGGAAAGATATGACAGGATGCTGATGATGCCCTGAAGGAGCAGTGCTGATGTTGCTGCAGCTCCCACTCGTGCTTGTCCCCATCACCCATAGCCCAATGGAGCTGGGGGAGCTGCTCGCATGAGAGAAAGAGTGGTTTTAGGGTCTCTTTTGAGGTGTGGTATGGAAGAGTGTTCAGAAAGAGAGGAGAGCTGCTATGTGGAGCCCAGGGGGATGGGGATTAGTGAATGGTTATTTTTAAGCACTGGGGTAAGAGGATATCTGTGGAGACATAGGGAGCTCTGGGTGAGCATCACGTGCTGGTGACCACATCAGTACGTCATGGGGTGAGAGCTGGGGGAGCGTTTATGTCGCCCTGCTTCCCATCCAGACTCTTGCACCCAGTGATGGATCAAGAACACTCCGAAGGTCTGACCCTTCCCACGCCCTGTACTCCCATTCTTGTGCAGTGTCCTCTCCAACACACTCATTTAACAAGCTGTTTCCATAAGGACCACAGCAAGCTTTAAGGATGCTGATTTTGGGGGAGATCAAGGGACCAGGATAGCAGATGGACTGTGATGGGGAACAGCTCTGCTTTGCTTCTATCCCTCAAAGCACAGCTGCCATGGAACAAATGCACTGTTTTCTCCCCATTCTGGGTGCACTGAACTTGGCTTGGCTCCATTTTCCAATGGCCCTTTGCAAGCTGGCTGGGAAAAAAATGTTTGAATTCTGTTCTCAGGAGGAGTTTTGGGCCAGATGCTGCCTCTGCGTCTCCCCCCAGTGAAGGCAGTCAGGGGTTCTCCTGCTTGGAGCAAGAACATCACCACCCTTCCTTTTCATTTCTTTCTGGGAGGGGTATCTGACCCTGACAGCAGCACCAGGACTTTGCTGGGGCAGAAACAGACATTGGTGCCCCCCAAGACTGCACTATCTACAGAGCTCTGTGCAAAGATAGAAACATCCCCAGGCAGGGAGCTGAGGACAAAGCCTGTCCCAGGACCTCCCTAGCATCCTACAGCCAGACATTACACAGCCCTTAGGTTCCCCATAAGCTGGTAACCCCCGTGGGGGTCAGCACCCAGCAGTAGGTCTGTGGCAGCTGAGAACTGAGCTGCCAGTGCCCTAGCAGTGGGAGGAGAACAGAATTAAACCCAGTGGGGAATTCCAGGACCAGTCCTTAGACCCAGCACCCCCTCCACCACCTATTTGGTCCACGTGCCTTAGGCTGGTGGCATATGGGGTCGGTAGGTCCGAATGGCAGCAAACCCCATCCCTGCTACATGGAGCGATGCTCTGAATCCCTTATGGTTGCAAAAAGGAACAGGCATCCTTATCCTGAAAGACAACGTGTGCCTGCAGGTGAGGGGAACAGCCTGCACCTGCCCTGCGCTTTGAGGCACTCAGCACCTTTTGAAGGTCTCTCAGGGTTCGATTTGGGTTCTGGCTTGATTCAAGGGGCCGGGGCACAAAGCAAAGCAGTCCCCGCGCCGAGGGCTTTACCTGGCGTAGCGCGTCTTCTGGAAATCCAGGGCTCCGGACGCCAGCATCGCGGCGGTGCCATGGGGCGTCCCGGGACGCGGCCACGGGCGGCTCAGTGTGGGGTGAGGAGCCCGGGGGTCCCCGAACCCCACGAGGGTGGCGATGCCCTGCGGACCCGCAGCGACTTCATGGGTTCCGTCGGGTCCGAAATGCCGCGGAGGAGGAGAAGAAGAGGGCAGCCTCGCCCCCCTGTTGCACAAGAGAAGAATCCGAGGAAAAACAAAGGCGACCGAAAGGGAGGCAGCTGGAGAGGCAGCCAGCCCCGCTCACAGCCAGCAAATGGGCAAAGATGGGGAGGAGAAGAGGAGGGGGGACAAATCCCGTCCCGCTCCGCCTGGTCGCGGCAACCTGCACAATCTCTCTTATCCACCCAGGCAGCTTTAAGCACAGCTAAAAATACCCCCCGCTCATAGACACACACCCCCGGCGGATCAAATAGCAGCAGATTTGAATTGAAAATGTAATTAAAGCGAGGGATGGAGGGAGCAGCGAGCCTGGTGGAGACTGTGGGTGCCTTTTGAGGTGCCCCTGCCTGCCCCCCCCTCCCCTCCAGCCCCCCGAAGGGAGACGTTCGGCTTTGATTTTGCTTTTCTTTATTTTATCGAGAGGTTTTTGTTCATTCTGTCCCACGGCTTTCTGTGAGCTGATGGTTTTGCTCCAGCTGTCACAGTGGGGTGTACAGGGGTGCGGACCCACGAGCCTCCGTCCAAAGCCTCCATCCCCTCCCAGTCCCAGGTTGGTTGTTGAGGCGCTGATACGCACCTGCAGGAGGCAGCAGGGTGACCGTCCCTGCAGGTGTTCAAGAGCCATGGAGATGTGGTACTGAGGGACGTGGTTTGGTGTCATGGTGGGAACGGGTTTGGGCTGGACCCGGTTACCTTGGAGGTCTTCTCCAACCTTTGTGGTTCTGTGACGAGGGTGCCTTCAGGCTAGCAGGTGAGGGACAAGGAAGGGGCCATAGGGACAGCAGAACCTGGAGGAGGAGAGCCCTAATGTCCCCAAATACAGTTTGTCCTTACTGATGCTGTAACAAGGGTGGTGGGACGAAGGGGGAACATCTCCATGTGCCACAGGCATCTCCTTGAGCAGGGTGTACTCGTATGGTTGTTTCCACGAAAAATCAATCGCACACGGCTCCACAGAGCCAAAGCAGTTAAAAATTTCCTTGAGAACATCATTTTCCATCAGTTCCAAATCATGCTTTGAAGCTCCTTTTTGCATCCAAGTGAACGCTACATCTCTGCAGCAGAGGGGCATCTGTGTGCTATGTAATTCAAAGCACCAATTAACTCTGTGCAACCCCCTCCAAGTGCAGCTTCGTTCCCTCCATGGGACGCATGGGAGGGGGATGCTCCATGCGATGGGATCCATTGGGCTCAGCTTCTTTGCATGATTTCCAGCGCTGGAACCAAGGAGGGGACAAGAGAATGAATATGTCCCTGCTCCAGGGAGACCTTCCCACTGTATCTGGGCCCTTGCTGTGGGTGATGGGTTCATGCTGCCATGCAATGAGATCACTCCCAAGCCCTCTCCTATGCTTTGGGGTTTGTTTTTCCAAGTTCCTTCCCCAGCTTCAGGATGACAAGGCTTTAGCAAAGGCTGTTTTGTGATGCCTGCTCCCCGCTTTACCTTTCTCTGCACTTAGATGGAAGAGAAAACAGCAACAAATCCCCTTTACCCACATAACCTCACCCAAAGCCCCCGGCCAGGAGCAGTGGTGGAGGGCACCAAAATTGAACCATCACTCCCAAAATAGATCCGTCTCAGAGGGCAAAAGGCGAATGGAATGAAAAATAAGTTACTATTTTTGAAGCCTGGCTGCAGTTGTTATGGCAACGAAAGCCTCACGAAATCCTGCAGGGGAACGGCTCCAACCCCATGCCCCGAGCCCACAGATCTTTACATGCTGCTTTATAGTTTTAATCGAGGTTTCCTACCAATTAGCAAATTATCTTGCACAACGCATTGCTTTTTTGCTATTTAGATCTTGCATGGACTAACGAAGCACTACAGGCAGCTGAAAGCAAACCCTCTTCAGGCTGAAGAAAGGCATAAACCATGCGGTGAATGCCTTGCTTCTAATACTGGAGGAAGAAAACCACTACTGAAAATAATTTTAAAATAGTGTGTAAAACTTAGACTGAATGATCACTCACAAGGAGGGTTTCTGAGATGCTGGGGTGCCCCAAAAGCAGTGATTTTTGGTCGTCTCATCAAGACGGAGGTCAGGAAGCCTCCCCAAATACACGTGAGGCCTCAGATTGTGCAGGTCCTGCAGCTGGGGACTCCCCTGGGCCGGGTCCTGGTAGGATCACATCCTTATTCACGGCAATCAGCCATATGTGATGGGAATAACAACCAACATGTGATGGGAATAACCCATATTTAACGGAAATAACCCAGATGTGATGGGAGTAGCCGCACTCCGAGCATCACCATGGCGGCACCGCGCTCACTCCAACAGCTCCCAGGAGGTTCTATCGCCCTCCTGCAATAGGGACAGTCGCTGTGCAGGGACAGAAGGACTGACGGACACGGAGGGGGGGATCCCCGTGTAACCCCGATCCGCGGCCCCCCCCCCCCCCCCCCCCCCGCTCAGCGCACGGACCCACAGCTGAGCGCTGAGGACCTCTCGCGGCACGGAGTGGAACTGCAGGGCTCGGGCAGCGCCACCCGCACCCCGCGGCGCGGTGACAGTCACGTGACCGCGCGGACAGCGCCACCTCCAACCGGCAGCCTCCCATCCGCTCGCCGGCCCTCTCGCTCCCCGCTAAGCTTTGCAACGCTACAACACCCCCATCTCCCCGCCCTTCGCCCAACCGCGCTCGGCGCCACCTCCATAGCGCATGCGCGGCTCCTCCCACTCTGGGAGGCGGCGCATGCGCAGCGGCGGGACGGTGACAGCGAGAGCGGGCGGCGCCGATGAGCGCATGCGCAACCACGGGGCGGGGGCGGGGCAGCGCCTGCGCGGGGCCTCTGTGCCGCCCGCAGCGTAAACAAGGCGCTGGCGGCGATGAGGAGGCCGCGGGCGTGTGGAGCGGGCCGGGGCGGCTGGGCTTGAGTTGCGTTGCCTTTTGGAGGCGTCCCCCCGCCGGACGGGGGTGGTTGAGGGTTGTCCCGCCATGAACTTGGCCGGGCAGAGCGGTGACGCCGGCAGCGGCCATCTGCTCTTCGCTAACTTCAACCAGGACAACACGTAAGGGGGCGGCGCCGGTATGGGAGGGCTGGGAGGTGTGGGGGGGTCTGAGGGGATCTGAAGGGGTCTGA